GCTGCAGACACTGCTGAACTGGAGTGGAATTACTGAGCAGATGCAAAGCAATCCAAATAAGAACATATAAACATAAAAAGAAACATAGCAACAGCATATAACAAAGAAAGGATGGCACTCATTCTGTTTCCAGGTTACTACAGTACTGGGATACTACAGGAATTGAGATTTACTTTCAAGAACACCAGCTGCTCCACCAGCTCAGCTTCTAGGGAGATGGACTCCAATCACACATTCTGTTGCATAACTTTTCACCTTCAATACTGGCTGATGGGCATGTGTCAGCCCTCTGGGGTAGTCCAGACAAGAAGCACCAATAGTAACACATTTATTGTAAGACATCAGTAACAGTCTCACAAGTCTGAAATACCTCTTACTTTTACCCTCCCGAAAACTATGGAGGGTCCCTTTTGAGATGTTTTCTCCATCCCTATCCCTCTTTCAGACTCATTTTGTTTATCAGAACATTGCCCAGGTTGACTCTTGCTCCTGTCCTTCAGTGTCATTCCCAGCTACCATTACAGCATGATAGGTGTTTCTGGGCAGTTCCCTCAGCAGATTTAGTACTTTAAGGGAGTTTTCCAGGGATTTTTATACTTCTTATACTCATAAGTAGGTAGCATGAGATTCTCAGCATTATTCAAATTCCTTGGTTGCATACAACAAGGATTACAATCCCTTCTATCTTCAGTAAGGACTCTGGAAAAAGAGGTTGTAACTGCTACTTCTAAAGATTTCTACTGTCTTTGGCTGCTACTACCGGTAGGAATCTGCTGAGGACTTTCTATTAGGACTGGATCTGGTAAAAAGTGATCCTACTTCCACCCTTGCTTGCTGCCAACTCTGTATATTCCAGGCTGAACTGATCATCTCATCCTTCTATTGCCTTAAAATACTGTTGCTCCTTATATATTAAATTAACTTATTCCATATGTTAGTCAAACCTTAAATCCATTCTCAGATACAGCCACTCAATAGAGACAGATACTGTAGAGTATATAGCAGATTTGACTTTTGCTGGGGTGGAGTGGGAAGAACTAAAGGAAAGACAAATTAGAAGGAAGGAACAGAAAGAACTGTGATTATAGTGACATAAGCAAAACCTGGTGATTGGGTCAGAGTGAGATGGGATTTTAATAAGATGTAGATTTGGAAAAAGATATGATTGCACATAAGACAAACCAAGCAGGTAAAAGCCCGAGTTCTCCTCTGCCCCTTTCCCCACCATCCCAGGATGCCTGGCTAAGGAATTCTAGGAGTTGCAGTCCACAAGTCATAAAAGGGCCAAGTTTGAAGACCCCTGATGTAGAGAAATGAAATCCTAGTAGGTGGAGTGAGAAAAAATAAGGGAGAAGAGAGACAAACCAAGGGGGAAAAATCTGATAGGCAGGAACTCAATAAAATGATAAAGCTTATTGGTGAGCTACTCAAGTGAATGATGGAATGCATATTATACCACTGTTAGCCTTCTCTATCTGGGTACTAGAGCTTCAATAAAATATCTTGTCTATCAAAATCTAGCAGGAAGCAGCAGAAAAGCACTGAATCTCCAAAGCACTTCTGAGACACCTGATTAATTTCTTGCTTTGAAGCAGCACCTGCTTTAATTCAGAAAACTAGTTTAAAAGGGTAGGTTCATTTAAGCTTTATTAACCCAGATTAATCATATAAAGATAGCATAGTCCATGTAGGCAGGAAGGAAAAGACGATATGGAGACCTCCTAAAGAGATGAATTGGGTAATTCATAATCTTGTTTACTTACTATCTTCTTTCCAAAGGCAGCATCTTTGTTTATGGTTGAAAGCAAAAGTCATTATACAAATACACACAACATAGAATACTATTAAAACTGAGTAATTTATGTAACAGCGCCGATTAAAAAAAAATTCTAATCCTGGAACTAGAGCCCTGTCTTCCTTATGATAGTTGCCACCAAGCAAAACTTAGAAACCTTCTGAGATATTTCAAGAGAGTCACGTGCTTACAAGAAACAAACTGCTTCCTCATTCTGCTAACCCAATCAGCCAATCAATGGCTTCCACATTAATGTATGGTGTCAAAATTTCTAATGGAACAATACCATGAGCCATATGGAAAGAATTCTACTGATCCTTTAGAATAAGAATGTTTCCTTGCCCAGATGCGGCTTCATTTTGTTTTGACCATATGAAAGACCAGAGCTACAGTGGGACATCCTAAAGTTCACATTGTAGTGGAAAGATCAACTTACTGATCAATTTATTTATAGCTGGTGGCTACAAATTTCCTCTCACAGAGTTTGTCTGGATTGACACATCCTGATCTACTTACCACCTTGGTTTAATTGTTGGTGATTATTGCTGCCACCAACTACCTTTTGGATGGTCCTTCAACTAACAGAGATAGGGCTCCCCTACCTTGTCCTGCCCTTTAGACAAATGAAAGACTATATGAAAGGAGTTAAATGAATAGAGATAAACAAAATGTCAACTGAAAACTCCATTATTCCTTCACCGCAATCCGCTTCTCAAATAACAACCAGATTGCGCACACATAGAGACCCCTTGTTGGACCTGACAATTGCTCGCTAAAGGATTTATTTTATTTTTTTTTGCAAAAAAACCCAACCTTGAAATATAAGATATATGAAATTTGATATGCAGAAGCAAATGCAGTATTTTTGGCAGAGCGTAATATGGTGCTGGCCCTCTGTAATTAATGATCTAGGCAGGATCTCTGCTTCCAAATTAAATTCTAGAGCACAAGAATTTAATAAAAAGCACAATAAAATATCTTTGCCATATCCAAACATCACTCAGAATATTTTTACCTGTGCAGAGAAAAAAAACAAGGGACAGTAAGATATTCTGTAACTAGCACATGCACACAAAGAAAGATTAAAATTTTCATTGTACTGGCTAAACATGATTACATATTTCTTCCTAAAAACCCTTCCTTGTTGTTCTCCTGGATCTTCTTAGGCTTCTTGAGGAAACTCCAGCCATCAGTCAGAGCTATGAGGGCCTGGTAGACCCCACTCACTTTCCCATTTCAGGCACAGCAATGTGTTACTCCACTTCTCTTCGAGTTCTTAAAAAAAACACCTTTTTTAATTCAAGAGAGGGAGTTAGAACGGCATCTAACTAGGCCTACATGCCAGCACCATCCTGCTTATGAAACAAGGGACAAATTTCCTTCTTAAATGTGGATTGCAGTTAAAATACTGGCGGCTGGCCAGCCAACCCATCAATAAAAGTAGGGGTTGCAGCATGGGCATATACTATACTTGTTTTACATTTGGTTATTGAACCCACATATAGGTGACAAATTGGCATTTCTCAAATTTGGCCACTTTAAGATGTATGCACCTCATTTCCAAAGAGTTAAAGTCCACACGTCTTAGAGTAGCCACGTTTAAGAAATACTAATTTAAAGAAAGGTGTTTCATTTATTGCCATCTAAGCCTTTCAAATTTAACAAAAATATTTTTTAGATTTATATCTTTTTCTTTCCTTTGGTGCTCTAGGTAACATGCATGATCTCTGCTAATTTTCTCCATATTGTTCTATGAGGGAATTTAGATGGAGAGAAAGTATCTTCTTGAGCAAAGTTATCCAGTGATGAAGGTGAACTTAGATTTCTTATGTCAAGGAGGTCCAAAACTACAACCACTACTTGATGCTGGTTGTGTATATTAAATACATCTTTCCAATTAATTTGAAAGATATGTGAACAGTGATGAATGATGCCCTTGCATGCAATTAGTTTTCTGCAGCAACTGCATTTGAAAAAATAAGACTAACTTCCAGGGAATAAATGGAAAACTGAATAAGGCTCTGCTAAATCAATGCAGCAGTTTCCAGTGGGTTTAGAGTACTGGGAGATGAGGAGACAGCCATTTTGCTCAAACCACATTCGGCACCTTTGAAAGGCCACTGGGTTCATATACTTGTGATTAAAAATGTTGGTCTAGAAGAGGGGTAGGCAACCTTGGCTCTTTTATGATTCGTGGACTTCAACTGCTGGCTCAGGAATTCTGGGAATTGAAGTCCACAAGTCATAAAAAAGCTAAGGTTGCCTACCCCTGGTCTAGAAAGTTTACAAATGGACTATGGGTCCAGATAAATTTGAAATAAGATTTTGGAATTAACTATAAAGAATCCTCCCCATGGGAAAATACTTTTGTTTTGAATTCTTAATAAGACTTTAAAAATTGAACACTAGAGGGAACTAGAAAGACTCAAAGATTACAGTTGAAGAAGAAAACATTCAATCTTAACTTACAAATACAGAATGAAGAAAAATATTTCAGCATTGAGCATGCTGAAGGATATGTTTAAACAATGGACCCAGAAGTTAATTTTAAGAATGTCTGCCTCTATAGATACACCATGTTTAAAAGATATTAAGGAAGAGGAACAAGTTTTACCTGATAACATTTAGTCTGATTTGAAGGTGGATTTAAAAATAACAGACTACAAGAATGACATGGAAAAAGATTTTATACTGGACATACAAAGGAAATTGATTGACGTTTTAATAATTAAAAATAATATCTAAATAACAAGAAAAGAAAATAACCCAGATAATTTTCCTATATTGAATTTACCAAAACTTACTTATTTAAAACTTCGAAGAATTTTATGAGATGGAATCAAAACAAATGAAAAGAAATCCAATTCTAGAAAATTATAAGATCAAAATTGGAAGAAGTGAAAAGAAAGAATATAAAGTTGGTTTAGTTGATCAAGGATAAAATAAATATGTTGTTATCTCTGGTAATCCTTAATGGATTTTTGTTGACATCAGAACTAATGATGAGGCTTTGAGGATTTGTTTATAAATAAGAGATGGGACATGGGAAAAAGAGAACATTTATTGTATTTTAAGAGAAGATGCTAAGTTACTAAAATTATTTCTATTTGTTGTGATATTCTTTATATATTTCTTTTTTTCCTTTACTATATTTTTAGTTTTTCTTTCTTTTCTGTTTTTTCTTTCCATTATTTTCCTTTTTATCTTTTCTGCCTGTTTATTTTTTGTTTGTATTAATTTTTATTGTAGAAATTGCAATTTTTAATAATATTACTATAAAAACAACTCACCAACATATGATATCTAGGAGGAAATTCCCATTTCAGGTTATTAACATTACTTTTTATTCCATCCTTCATATGAAGATCTCATAGTAATATCTTTAATCAGTAAAACTGAATGGCTGAGCCAGGGTTTGAGCTCAAGAGGAACTAATTTCTTATGTTAACATTAATAGTTATATTACAGGACTTAAAATTATTAAAATTTAATAATCTTCTTAAAATTATTCTACATGAAAAACATTGTAACAAAGTGTTTTTTTCTGTTTTTTAAAAATCTTGAGTCTCAGATGCTTTTTAAGGCACATTAGTCAATTGATCTTTGCCCCATTTGAAATGCCGTAAGTAAGTATGATGAAGCTGATGGAGAGTTAAATATTAGAAGGAAAAAGAAAAGCTGGAGAAGCAACTTCAGAAAACAGGACAACAGAATCCAATTACCTTCACTGTTTTGTCCTTCCACTCTGAGAATCAACGATTTGTTTACAGCCATCTTGGATTGCTAAGAAACTGATCTTATATCTTTCCAAATGATGTTGTTATTTATAACTCAGAAAATAAGTGGGTAAGCCTGGAAGATTGAATGCTCATTTTCCCACTCAGCAGACTCATCGTGTTCTTCTCTTTGGTTCTGAAATGCCAGTAAACATTCGTTATTCCTTCTTGCTGAATATAAGTCTTTGTACCACAAATACAACAGCAGATAAGCACATGATTGATGTATGCAGATGAGCAGAAATCTCGGAGTTGATCATGATTCTATGAGATTTTATTTATTTACTTACTTACTTACTTACTTACTTATCGTGTTTCAAGACTGCCCATTTTCCTCAAAAAGGGAGATCTTCAGTTCCATAAGAATCCACTTCTTCTTAGTGGAAGGCATTACATTTGAACCAGTCATAACAAAAGAACAGGCTGATATTACAAGAGATATTGTCTTTAGAAAAAAAACTGTATTATGTTCCTTCATATAATAAAGCAACAATATCCAGCCTAGATCTTCCCAATAAACCACACTACAACCCCCCTCTTATCCAACTACTGTGGTCAACAATGTCTGAAGAAAGGCAAAGCTGACCCCAAAAATATCATGATGTATAATCCATCAAATCTGGAGGGCCAACAAGCTGGAAAAGCTGCAATGAGCATCATTTTCTTAAAAGAAAAAAATACATATGTGAACCTAAAAAGCAATTCTCTGCTGCTGTTTCTTGATCATCATCATCATAATAAAAAAAATCCTATTAGATCAGCTTGCTCACTTTAGGAACTGTGGCTAGACCTATTTGCTGCCTTATTATTGTTGTTGTTGTTATGAATTACTAGAAAGAAAGATGAGTGGCTCTTCCTACAGCATCACCAAAGACCCCCCTCCCTTCCCCGGAGCCACCTCGTAAATGGGTGCTGCAATTGGGAAGGTTCAGGGCCAGCAGGAATCTGACTGACTGCATGGACACCAGCTCATCTCCACACTGACATGGTACCTACTTATCTACGCACATAAAGCATGCTTTCCAATTGTTAAGTGGACAGACACTGACATGAATGACAGGAGCTCATCCAGTTCTAGGACTCAAACTGCTGGAGCAGAGACCTTCTCCAGCATTATTAAGCCACTGGACCACCATGCCTCTTGCCGCTGCCTTAATTAACTGGATTGACATTTGTGCCCCTCCCTCCCTGCCAGCAGGCTATGGGGACCAAAAACTGTGTCCTAGTTACATCACTACCAATTTTGCAATGAACCCATGTCCCAATTTCCCCCTCCCCTTTTTCTTGGTTGGGGAATAGCTATTGCCAACATTATTCATCTTCAACCATATTGTCTGAGGTACTGGCTGTAACACCGGAAGGGCTATGCATTATCCATTCCTTAACTTGGGCAATATAGGAGGACCACTTGTGCCTAAAATGTGTTTTTTGAAAGACTATCAGCAGGATGTCTCCTGATATTTCTGGCCATATCTGTCAACTAAGAAAAGGAGCAGGCATGACACTGAATTAAGTATCAATCCTCCTGACCTCACCTCGCAGGCAATCAGCAATGTTCATTCATAGAAAACTTCAGTCTAGGCTTTCAATCTATTCTTCTGTCGTGTTGGATGGTGTGCATCAGTTGTCCACACTATGGCCATAGCAGCCTCAGACTTTGCCGAGGGCAAGAGGAATTAATGTTTGCTTCTTTTTCTCTTTACAGACGTTAGATAAGATATCTGCCCCAAATGCCAAGCAGTATGGATCTAGTGGAGGCTAGAATGTATTTGTTCTTACTCATATAGACTACATGAGTACTAATATTACTGTAAAATGTCGGAAGATGTATGGAACCAGTGACGTCATATCTATGTCCAATGTGTTTTTAATTTTGTATTATTAATAAAAATGTATTTAAAAAAGAAAGAATGTTCTTGCTAAATGAGACTGCAGCATTCTGGGATGGGGTTCAAATATTATATTAAACCATTTTAGTTTAGGACTAGTGACCACTATAGCAGCACAATGGTTTATAAGCTATAGTTAATATAAGCCAGTGGTAATCAAACCATAATTAGCCTACGTTAATATTGTCTAGGAAAAAGTAAATGTGCCAACAAAGGCAGAGCTTCAAGACAAACACAAACTGAATTCTAAAGCTTGCCTTAGTCATTTTACTTAGCCTGCACACAGTCATTGTATTAAGTATTAAATGACATGTGATTATGAAAATGTTATGGTTACAGTTACAGACGCATGCAACTAGTTGCTTGACTATACAACTTTGTGCTTGCAAATAAAGCATCAGAAGGTGTGTTAAACTTATTCTCACACTTAGGTATTTCTAATGTTAAAAGCTAATTTACCTGTGAGAACAGTAGACAATTTGAAAGTTCATTTGGTTTCCTGTGCTCATGATAGCCTGGGTCAAATGGATAATAAAGTTAATTACCTTGGGAACAAAAAATTAAGTCAGTTCTTGGAAAAGTATTCTTAATCTTAATGTGCAATATAATTCTTCTAGAATGTAAGACCACACTACTATTAAAATTACATGATTATTGCCTTCAGAAGTTTTGGGTGCTTCATCACTGGAGGTTTTTAAGAAAAGACCAGACAGCCATCTATCTGAACTGGTACAGGGTCTCCTGCTTGAGCAGGGGACTGGACTAGAAGACCTCCAAGGTCCCTTCCAGATCTATCTGATTGACTGATTTAACATTTTATGTGATGGTGTATATATGGTTATTTATCATATAATATCTAATTTATAACATTTAAAAATGATCAAGCAGGTTGTCAGTTAAACATTCTCAACTTAATGCATGTTACAGTTCTTATGGAACAGTTCTGAATAAAATATGTTAGATCAAGGAACTTAGAATCAAGATTTGATCCTTGATCCAGAAGTTTTTAAATCAAAGTTGTATTGCTTTTGCATTAAAATTTACACACGACAAGCACTTTTGTTTACGTTTTAATTAAAATTTATTGTATGTACGTTTCCCTAACCTAAGTCAGGGAAGAAGGCTCACAACATTGAGCTTCACATATTCACAATCCTTCTGTGCAATACGTTTAATGTTGCATTCGTAACGTTAAAAGAAAAAGGAGTGGAGTTAGCTATCATATCAAACAAAAAAATACAGAGGATAGAATGTGTGGGGGAAATGTGATTAATCACATTGTATTTCTGGCTTCCAAAAAGCTGCCCGCATGCACCAATATCCGTATGTTCAATATATGATCTGCATTATTTATTTAATTAGTTAGTCGCCCATCTTGCTACACATGCTTGAAAGCTTTTGCACACTCTTTGAGGATCAACCAAGAAAAAAGAAAGCAGCAAGGACTTGGTTACACAGGTTGAAAAATATCTTACTTACTATTCTGGAGAATTGTATTAGGGAGAACATCTCTGAATTTTTCCCAGGATTTTTTTTTTTTCCTTCCTGGTCAGATTGTTCCAAGTCTCTTATCTACAGAAAAAAAAAAAATCCTTTCTCCCTGTACAGAAAAACAGCAATCTGACCATGAAGGAAAGTCTCTTCTTTCTTTTTTGTGGGATATGGGCTACAATCTTGATAAGAGGAAATTGATACTAATAAGCCTAGGCCAATGGTGTGATTCAGTAAAGGCAATGTGGAACACAGGACCCTGCGGTTATATGGTTATATACTGTTCCTTTCCGAATGCTTGTTCAACTTTCCAGTTTAGCCTGAAGATTGGACCATGTCCCAGCCAAACACTAACACTTTGCTTAGCTTCTCTCAGCACAGAGAAAACCACAACAAGCCACCTATCTCAGCTTCCCCCTCCCCATCCCTTCTCTTCCCCGGAGTAAAGGACATTCAGCTTTCTCTGGACTCACATATCCCGCCTGAATGGCAAAGCTTGTTATGGATCTGTTCTATGCGGACAAGTGTCAGGACATCAAGAGCCATTTGCTGTGCTAGTTTATTCTCTCCAAATCTCCCTGGGTGGATACCTCCGATTCTAAAAAAAATAATAATTAAAAAAAAACCCAAGCCTCTCGCAAGCATTCGATTAGATCTGCGCTCCAATAGTTTTAAACGTGTTTTTTTTAAATGTTTTGTTTTAATGTTTATTCTATTAGTGTGGGCGGCATCACGCTCAGGTTCCCTGCCTCTCCGCTGTCCGACATAAAGTACCGTGGAAACCCTACTCGCTTCTATGGCAGCGCTGGGTTCCCTTCCAGAGCATCTCCCAGCCGAAGCTGCAGCTGGTCACCCGCCGCTCACCTGTACGCGAGAGCCTGCATCCCACTAAAACACGTGGCCAGGCGCCCCGCCACGCAGAGGCTTGCTGGAGAGAGCCGTCGCCGGAGATCTTCCCGCTCCCGCTCCTTCCCCCACCTCTCCTCCCCGCGGATCCTAAGGGCCGGCCGCTCTCTTCGCCGAATCCTGGCTAGATCGCTCCCGCTTGCCCTCGCCCCCCCTCCCGCTCTCCCGCCTCCTCCTCCTCGGAATCTCCGGAGGCAAAGGAGAAGCCGAGGGAGGGGGGGCGGAATGAGTCACGCTTGAGCGAAGCAGGGAAACTCCAGCTCCTCCGCCGAGGCCAGCGCTATTAAAAAGCGCATGCGCGCCCGGAGCCTCTGCTCTGCTCCCCACCCTCCCTTCCTCGCTTGCCCCTCTCCCTTCTTTCCTCCCTCCCTCCTTCCTTCTTTCTTTCCCTCCCTCCCTCCCTCCCTCTCTCTCTCTCTTTCTCTCTCTCTGTCTTTCCCTGCCGGCTGGGTGCTGAAGTTGGGCGGATGGAAGCAAACCAGCTCCGCTAGGGACCAAGCTGCACCAGTCTTTTCCCCGGGACCGTTCAGTGCCAAGCACACACCACCAGGCGGGGTGGGTAAGATGGACCGCTTTTTCTCTCTCCTTTCAACCCTCCGCCTTGGGCAAATCGCTGGCACCAAAATGTCTGCTTTATAGACCGGTGCCTATAGAGATAGATCTCGATCTCTACCAGGAGGGAGGCGAAGGGCAGAGAGGGAGGGGTTGCCTGCCTGCCTGCGCGGAGCGCCAAAGCGAGAAGCTGGTGGGGCTGACGGCGACCAGAGATGCGCGTCTGGGTTTCTTGGGTGCCTCGGTGTGTGTGTTTTTGTGTGTGTGTGTGTGTGTGTGTGTGTGTATGAGTCTGTGAGTGAGTGAGAGAGAAAGAGAGAGGAGTGCGCGCGCACGCGCCAGTGTGGTCGCTGTGTGCGTGTGTGTGTGTGTGTGTGTGAGAGAGAGAGAGAGAGAGAGAGAGAGAGAGAGAGAGAGAGAGAGAGAGAGAGACTGTGGTGGGGAAATGTTGTTTCTCTCCAGTGATGCAGAAAGGGGTGGGAGGGAAGGAGAGAAGGGAGAGGCTCGGCGTGGTGGCTTCCCTGGACCTGCCCTCCTCACGCTCGGTGCTGCCGGCGGGACGATGCTGAGGGGCTGGAGCGAAGGATTTGAACCTGGCCGAGGCAGGAAGGCAGAAGAGACGGGAAACGTTGGAGGCGCTAAAAGAGGACCTTGGGAAAGGGAAGGTTGGGGGAAAGAAAGGTGAGAAGGCAAGAGAGAGGAGAAAGCTCCGTAGAAGTACAAACGTCCTTTGGAGATATAAAAAGAGACATTTCCCCCTTTTCTTACCAGGAGATAATACAATGCTGGAACTTGCTTTGCCTTCCTCCATCTCTTTGGAATCTATAGAATCTTCTCCTCTCCTCTCCTCTCCTACTTTCTTCCTTTCAAATTTTATCTCCCCCATTCTCCTTTCAACCATTCTCTATAAGGAATTGGCATACTTTTCTTAAACTATTCCTACAAACATCATAGAACTGATAAGAAGGAAAGGAAAAGAAATAGATTCTAGAGTAGCAGCTTTGATGTGAAGAGGATAACTGCACTCACGGATAATACATACATGCACACAACTTGTGACTGAGGTGGTGGGGTGCAGAGCTTTTCCTAGGGTCAGGCCAAAAAAAAAAAAAACCCCATTTCCTGCTCTTTCCAGTTCACTGGAGTTTCTTCTGCTTGGCTGCAACCTATTTAGCTCCTTCTCCCTGACTGCTCTTCTAAGAACTCATGAAATTGGAGGAAAGACTTGGGTCCACTTAGGGACCCAGAGATATCACTATCACACACACCCCTGGACGGGGGGGGGGTGGCGGGGGGGTAGTAGCTGCTATAGAGATAGACAACCAACAGGATGCTTGTTTCTGATTAGGCAAGAGCAACAGAAGGGATCTAGGGAGGTTGAGTCAAAATCTGCCTCCACCCTTTCCACCCATTGGAAATGGCAACTGAAATTTTGGCTACTTCACAGATTGTTTTAGCAGTTTATTGCTGACCAAACTGCTGGTGTCGAAATGCAAAGAAAGGGAGAAAGGGCCTGATCTTTGATGGACAGCTTTTTCCTTTCAGAATCTCCATCTTTCCTTCCAAAGTTAGCAAAGTCTGATGAATCAACACACTCTATTCTATTTGTAACTATCTACTCTGCTCCTGTTATTCCTTCTGTAGTTTCAGATTGCTATAATCTCCAGCAGGTTTAGACAGATGGGTGGCTCAAAATATTTTCTTTCAAACTAACTTTTAAGAAACGGAATCAAAAGCTACTACATGGGCCTTTTATGTATAGTTTCATTATAACATGTTGTGTTACAGATTGTTCCAGGGTTGCAGTTATGATACTATTTTAAATGCATACATTAAGGATCATATTCAGACTTATATGGGTGTTTCCCCCAAAAGCCTATTAAGTCTTCAATTACAATATATTTGTAAATGTGCATCATGAAAGCTTACTTTCTAATAATGATTCTTGTTATTCTAGTTTTCATAGAGGCACATATACTACCCTAGCAAGTCTCCAACCTGTTCTGAATTTTTCATTTATTTTAATAGATATTCCTATAAACAGAAAGCATTTGAGCCTTGATTCATCATAGATTGGTTATAGTTTGATTTGATTAATTTAATCTTATTTGTGGTATTCATTAATTTGTGGACTTTTACCTGGATGGTGTTTTTCCCCCATATGAATCTTTTCTTATTCTTGTGGTAGTTTTGGCACTAACATGAAGCCCTTCAGAACCGTCATCAAGGATGGGTCAATGTTGATACCCCAATTTTGGTGTTGTTTTTGGTTTCTGCTTTCTGTTTCCATAGCAAATCAGGTTTTTACAGGACAGGGTTGCTAGCCCTGTGCCTAATCCTCCTTTATCTGGGCTTAGGACCAGCAAGTGCCCACCTCAGGCAGAGTTATTTTCTCTTATTGAGAGTCCTTAGGGATTCAGCAGTCTATAAATGTAAATAATCACCGTAATAATATTCTACCATGTGTTCTGGTAGATAGTTTACTCAGAAATAGTAACTTGGAATTTATTGGGAAATTAATATCAATGTGGTTATTTCATTTCATTTTGTGTTGTCTGAAATTTGCCTTCTGCTTCCTGTCTTCCTTCTCTTGCATATTTATTCAAATGAGCCACACAGAGTTATTTCCAGATGGATGTCCAAAGGATTGCAGTTTTAGGTTGGAGTTAGAAAAATAGATTCCTTTGTAATCCTTTTAGAAAAAAAAAACAGATTAGCTAAGATTTAAGCATTCACGGAAGGGTTCTCAAACAAATTGTGTTTTATATGAGCGAAAAGTATGAATACATTTCAATGGGTAATAGAATTTGATCAGAGTATGATCAGAAATGTTCTATTCATGTGTCGAGATAGCAAAGCTTCACACAACTGTTCCTCAATTTGGCAGTCTCTTCAGCTTGACTCATTCTCAAGATCTTCCTAGGTTCCACATTTTGTGTTTCTCATCCCTGTCTGATGTGTCACTTTTAACTACTTAGGAAATTTTGTTGAAAGGTAGTAGGTAAAATATTTATTAAAATAAAATATATATATATATTTGAAGCTATGTGAAGTATGTGGAAGTTCTCACATTGTCCCTGTATGAATCAGACCTGTTTATGATACACATAGATGACACTCAACAATCTCCAAAAGGCGAATTTTACATTTGAAACACCAATCAATTAGATCCCTGACAAAGTTAGGTTTTATCCCATTCCACTTTTTGCTAAAAGTCATACAATCTCCTGAGCTATAATTTTATTAGGTTTACTATAGAAGTGTCATTATTTTTCCTGTAATTCCCATCTCAAAAATGAGAAGTATAGTGGCAGAACCTAATGCTTCTTTTAAACATAGACAATGCCACAAAGGAAAGCGTTAGACATAAAAATATTAGCTTTGCCTGTCTTGCTCAATACATTTGCTCTTAGTTGGAAAAATCCAATACTTCCATTTAATTCCCAATCAGGCCGTTGACTGGGACTCTTAAATTTAAAACATTATAAGCAAGTTGCTATTGACCCTTTGTACTAATACTCTTCCTAGAATATATATATTCTACTTTGAGTGTAATCAATAAAGAGAGCTTTTATCTAAGCACTGCTACCTACAAAGGATGTTTTCTGATACCTGGTATCTCTGGGTACTACTACATTTTTTTAGGGATATCTCCCACAAGTTTAGCAACTGTTGCTCAAAGCACAGCCATAGCACTCCTTCCTCCATTTTTGCCACATAATTGTGTGAGGTAGGTTAGGCTGAAAGAGGATGACTATTCAAACTCACCAAGTGGGTTTGTGTAGCTGAGGTGAACTAAACCACAATCCTAATCCTTACCCACGACACTACAATGGTTCTCTTTAACTGCTTCTGTGGAAGGAATTTCTACTGCATAATTATGCTATATAATTACATAATTCTGCTATATAAAAGTGCTCTCCCTAAAAGAGATTAGGAAGGCAGAGCATTAGTGTTCTTGAAACATGTATAAAATAGAGAAGATGAAATATATGTGTGCACGATTTCCTCATAGGATGTCATGTTTTCTCCGAAAAAAAAGTGTTCTTATTTTCTGTTGGGGCATTGGCCAGCAGATTCTCAAACCAGAAACTTCTTTAAATGGGTGTAGGAAATTTTTTAAAAAAAAACTCAACAGGGAAAAGAACTATAGGAAATTATTACAGCCCATTTCTTAAAGGTGCAGTAACAAACATCACATCTGTCTTTTTCAGGTTCTAAAGTGTATCTGTTTTTCTTGACTTCAAAACTATTATCAGTGCAGAGTAGGTAGTTACTAATACTTGACTCTTAGTGAAGCTCAGCCTTTACAGTTGACTCATATCATAGTCTTTACACTTGTTAGGTAATTGTATAAACTCATCTTTTCAAGACCATTGCTCGCCACAGTGGACACATGTAGCAGTTCCTCTTGAGACTTGGATAATAGTGGGGAAAATGAGTCTCACATCTGACGTTTTCTAAGGATTATGCTGAACTCTCAGATGTAGCCATAGCAGCAGCCAAATCTTTTCTTGAATAACTTGTTTCTTCCTAAATGAGTTCTATTTGGGATAAATAGGATTCATGATTCATATCTTTGAGGTTTACTATCACTCGACACCCTGATTGGGCTGCATATCTTTTTGTCTTCAGTGCTGGTTATCATCTTGATTATGGTTTCCACCTAGTTCTTTCTCGATTTCACATTACTTTAGTGATGATATGCCCCGTGTAGCTCACTTCATTGATGATAAACCATGTTTTGTCTTTATTGAAACAACCATTGCCGGAGGACTCTCCATCATCTTCTTTAAAAGGTCATCATGCTCTGCTTTGTAGAAGCAGCCATTATCAGACAGATCATCATGTGCAATTCCTCAATATTTTCAAAACATTCATGGTTCTTTTCTTAGAATATTTCACTGGTTGATTCGATGACAAAAGATAATGTAATTAAACTATGCTGCCCCAATGGAGAGTTCAGTGTGCACAGCTATATTCACGTTGCATCTAGGGATATTTATT